GCCTCGCGCGCAGCGACGAGGCGCAGCACGTCATGTACCACCACGCGCAACCCCGCGCGCGCAGGGCCCTCAGAAGCGGAAACCCCGCGCCATAGGCCACCCTGGCGTGGGCGGTCGGTGAAAAGGAAAGATGTGCGACAGCAAAACGATGACAGACCGAGGGGGAAGCGTGACATAGAAACGCCGAAGGAGGACGGCGAGCACGCGCTGGGCCTGACGGTGTGGGAGAAGACGAGGCCGTACCCCATCGTGGAGTCGGAACATGGGCAACGCTAGCGGCGTGGCGGCGGGCGCCGGGTGGAACCCGGGAGTTCCTGAGGCAGGAGGCGCTTCTGGGTGGTGGACTCCTGGGCGCGGTCCTGTCGCGCAGATGCCCAGAGGATCCACGCGGGCACTGAGTTGAGGAAGCGGCTGAGCTGCTGAGTAGAGGAACTGTGAGGATCAAAGTTGGGCTCCGTGCCGTCCACTCCCGGCCCGTTACTAATGGCCCAACCTCGCCAGAGGAAGGCCGCGCACTCAGCATCTGGGGCCTCGGGGTCCAGGAATGTTCGGACCTTGCCGAGGAGGGCGGAGCTGCTGGCGCAGCCTTCGGGAGAGCGAGAGTCCTCTGCTTGGGCGGTGGGGCCTCCTCACCTACGGAGGCGCCGCGGAGTGCCCTCCGCCTGGTCTCGGCTGACTACCTACCAGACCACCCCGACCCAACCACCCAAAGACCCGAACCTCGGGTGGGGGGGGATACGGGCCTCATACAGGCCTCGGAAAAAAATAGCGAACATTCATGCCACGTTCATCTGTGAACGCCTCCCCCTCCCCCCAATGTTCAAAGTTGGCGGTGGGTCTGATGAGTTGCACCTCGACCGCAGTCTCCCCCGCGCGTGCCAGCCTTGAGTTTGGGGGGCAGAGGGGGGTGTTCACTAAGTGTTTCCCTCTACCGTATGTTTTGGCTTCCGTGTTCCCCGACACCCCCACCGCTGGGAGAGCGGAGGGCAGATTGGGGCCTTCGGGTTGGGTGTTGGCGGTGGCTCGGTGGGTGGTGGTCCGCGGCCGCGGGTGGTCGGGCCCCGACAGGCGTGGCAGGGCGGGGGGGCTCCCCTGGCCTTCGGTCGGGCATGTCCCCCCACAGGCGGATTCGGGACGACAGAAAAAAATATTGAAAAAAATACTCCAAGATGCGCAAAAGAAGTCGAAAAATCGCCCCCGCACTATCTTTTTCCAACTTTTGCATATCCCTCCTGTAGAGGGACACGCCCGACTTCAGTAGTCGAAAAATCGCCCCCAGACTCTTTTTTTGAACATCCCTCCTGCACAAGAGACATCGGGAGCGGCCAAGAGGGGGGCGTCCAAGAGGGGGGCGGGGCCGATCACGGCTGGCGGCATGTGCGCGGCCCAGGGGGGTGGGGGCCGGGGACACATTGAAATAAGAAGGGACGCCATGAATTCTGGGGAGACATCATGGCCCCCGCCATGATATCCACCCCCCCTCCTGGCCATCACCCCTCTCCTTTGCCGCCCCCGAGCACAGGCCCGACCTCAAAGCGGGGGCCACCGGTGCGGACCTGGAGGCGCTTGCGCGGGGCGGGGCCGGGGCGCGGGCGCTCTCTCGCAGCGCCTCCCGCGGCCGCCCCCGCGAGGGCCTCTCCGAGGGGCGGGGCCCGGGGAGGGGGCGGCGCCGTCGTGGGGGCAGCGCGGGATGGCAGCCGGGGCTGGACCTGTGAACGTTATGTTGTTCGTTGTTCGTTTTGTTTTGCCTTCGTTTTGCTCGTGTGCTTTGTTTCCGTTATCTAAACGTGTTGTTGTTCGCTCTGTCTTCGTTTTGTTTATTTCGTCTTGCTCTGCCCGTTTTCCGTTATGTGGATCGTTTTGTTGTTCGTTATGTGTTTATCGTTATGTTGTTCGCTTTGTTTTGTTCCTCTCGTCTTGCTCTGCCCGTTTTCCTGCACCTCGCTCCCAAAACGAGGAGGAACAAAACACCGCCGAAGTCCCGCGAAGCAGCGTTTGGGTCCAGCCCTGGTGGCATCCGCCCAGCTCCAGGGGGGGGGGGCCGAGGCCGCGCCCGGCAGGCGAGAGAGAGCTGCTCGCTCGGTGGCAACTCCTGGGAGCCTCCCAGGCCATCTTGTCGGCGCTTGCGAATCGGCGCTAGTCGACGCCAAGTCGACGCTCATAGACGCTGAATTGACGCTGAATTGACGCTAAGCGACGCTACATCGTCGCTTACATCGGCGCTATCTCATCGACTCCCAGACGCTAATCGACGCCAATCGACGCTGAAGACGGAGTTAACAGGGTACGCCAGGCTCCCATGACTTGCTAGCGAAGAACTGCCCGGCTGGGCGCCCCAACTTCCGTTTTAGCATGGGGGAAGCGGGGCCTGGGGGGAACGGGTCCTGGACGCTGGGGCCTTCCCCAAGACGCGTTCGTCATGCCGAGTCGGGGATCTGCTGGCCCGGGTCGATCCAGACCCGGGTCAGTCAGGATCCTGCACGATCCTGCGCCCCAACCCGGGTCAATGCGCCCCTGGCTCTGCGGGATCCTGCAAGATCTGGCGCTCTGACTGCCCCGTTGACATTGACCCCCGTCCCTTGAGCCCCGACTGAGTCGCCTTCTGACGGTCCCGGGGCCCGTGGAGGAGGTTGTCGCCCAGTGGCCTCCCGCGCCGCTGGCCCGGCAGGAGTCCCGACTGCTGCCTGTATGCGTCCGGTCTCTGGCGCGCGTGTGGCGTCGTCGCTGGGGGGGCGGGGCAGCGGGAGCCGGGGACTGCGCAGCTGGTCGCTCAGGCAGGGCTTCGGGTGTCTGACCTCCTCCGCCGCTGGAAGGTGGAAACCTCGTCTGGGGATGTTCGGTGGCAGCTCTTGGGAGCCTCCCATACCCTCTTGTCGGTTCTTGCGAATCGGCGCAAATCGACGCTCAGTCGACGCTCATCGACGCGAAATCGACGCCTATCAACGCTAACCGACGCTAAATCGGCGCTATCTCATTGACTCCCAGACGCGAATCGACGCGAATCGGCGCGAAAAACTGACTTACGAGGGCATACAAGGCCCCCATGACTTGCTACTGAAGGGATGTGCCCACAGACTTCGCCCTGGACTCAGGTCGGGCATGTCCTCCTACAGGCGGATTTTTGAGGCGAAAACTAAAAGTAGTCAAAAATATTCGAAAACAGTCAAAAGCTAGTCGAAAAATCGTCCCCAGAGTTATTTGAATATCCCTCCTGTAGAGGGACACGCCCGACTGCGCCCTGGACGAAGCAGGGGCCTCCTCGCGGGACGGCGGAGCGCCCGCGGCAGCCCCGGGAAGCGCCGGGCGAGGAGGGCGCGGGGGGGGGGAGGGCCGCCCCGGCTGCGGGAGGGGCTCGTGCGCACCCGCCCGTTGCCACTTCGGGGCGGAGAGGGGGGGGGACGCCTCTCAGCCCAGGGGGAGGGGGAGGAGGAGGAGAGGAGGAGGAGGAGGGGAGGAGGAGGAGGAGGAGGAGGAAGAGGAGGAAGAGGAGGAGGAGGAGGAGGAGGACGAGGAGGACGAGGAGGACGAGGAGGAGGAGGAGGAAGAAGAGGAGGAGGAGGAGGAGGAGGCCACGTGCCGCACCGGCGCGGCGGGGTTCCCCTCGGCCGCGGTCGCTACACACACACACACACACTTTTTCCTTCGTCGGCGGCCAGGCAGGGGTCGTCTGCGCTGGCGGAAGAGGCTGACTAAACGGGGGCACCGTTGTAGCGAATTGGCCACCGTGCAAGAAGGGGGGCATGGCGGAAAAAAAGCGGGCGTCCGCGGGGAGGGACGCCACACACACACACACACACACACACACACACACACACACACACACACACACACACGCGCGCGCGCGCGCCGCGCGCCCATCTCCTCCGCCTTCCTGTTCTTTCCTGTTCTCTCATCCCTCATTTCCCTCCTCCCCTCCCTGTCGCTGCTTTTGGGGGGATGCATCCTGTTGCTGGCACCTGGGTGGCCTTTGGTCTTCCATCTGGGTACTGAGAAAAGCCTTTGTAATGGACGCAACCCCCGTTATGCTTCTAAAGAGACCTCTGGCCGACACGCTTGCCCCAATGGACTCCAGACCTAAACGGTTTGCCGGGGCCGCGGATGCAGTATTGGGAAGAGGAGGAGGGGTAGGAGGAGGGAGGGAGGAGAAAGCACAAGGGGAGGAGAAGGGGAAGGGGAAGGGGAAGGGGAAGGGGAAAGGGGAAGGGGAAGGGGGAAGGGGAAGGGGGAAGGGGAAGGGGAAGGGGAAGGGGAACGGGAAGGGGAAGGGGAAAGGGAAAGGAGGAAGGAGAAGGGGAAGGAGGGTTGCGAACGGCTCCAGAAGGTTCTGGGGAGGTCCTCTGGAGTTCAACTGGATAATATTCCTCCTCCTCCTCCTCCTCTTCCTCCTCCTCCTCCTCCTCCTTTCCTCCCTCCCTCCCTCCCCCTTCTCCCACCTCCTCCCTCCTCCTCCTCCTCTTCCTCATGGTCCTCCTCCTGCTCCTTCTCCTACTACTTCCACATCTTTAACCACCACCACCACCACACCCGTCCTCCTTCACCGCCCCCTCATCATCCTGCGTCCCCTCCTCACTCCACTCTCGCGCCCCAACCCCCTTCTGCCCTCTCTCTTTCTCTCTCTTTGGAGGCCTGGACATGGGCACCAACACCAACACAGGGGGTTGCCTCCACAGGAAGAAGATGATCCTAGATTTCGGCGTTGGTGGTAATATTTCGATCACCTTGGAAGCCAGAATATTACCACCATCACCGAGATCGGGGTCTTCTTCCTTCGGTGGAGGCACACCGCCGATACTGGTGTTGGTGTCAATGTCTAAGCCTGCGATCTCTCTCTCTCTCTCTTCCTCCTCCCTCCCTCCTCCCGGCAGCGTGGCTCTCCGAATCGGCGGGCCGGAGGACGTAGCACAGCTGACCGTTCAGCTCCGGAAGCGACTGGGCCGGCAGAGGGCAGAGGTATGCCGCCGACGAGGCGAGCGGATCGCGCAACGAACAGTAGCGGTAGTCGAGGGGGGGGGGAGGAGGAGGAGGAGGAGGAGGAGGAGGAGGAGGAGGAGGAGGAGGAGGAGGAGGAGGAGGAGGAGGAGGAGGAGGGGAGGGGAGGAGGAGGAGGACGAGGACGAGAGGGGAGGAGGATGGGGAGGACGAGGAGGAGGAGGGGGGGAGGGAGGAGGGAGGAGGAAGAGGAGGAGGAGGAGGAGGAGGAGGAGGAGGAGGAGGAGAAGAGTGGGATGAGGAGGGGGGGTGCAACAGGAGGAGGGGGAGGAGGATGGGGGAGGAAGACGAGGACTGAGGAGGATGGACAGGAGGACGGAGGAAGAGGAGGCAGAGGAGGCAGACGAGGCGGAGGAGGCGGCCCCTGGCGTCCAGGCGGTCTGCTCCGCAAACGGGAGCGGCGATCGAGGCAGTGGGGGCGCCGGCCGTACACCCACGCCGATGCTGGGCTCCAAGGATCGGCCTGGCCAGGATCGGTGCGGGGAATGTGTACAGTGGAGGGCCATGCCAAGAAGCACCCTGTGTGCCTCCAGGGTGCCCTGGGTTTCTGCGGCTTCGACGGTTTTGCCATGGCAAGCGTGGCGCTCCCGCAGCAAAAATCAGTGGACGTCCTGGGGTCTCAGGGTTGGGCTTCTCGTGGAAGGTTTCTTGTGGACTGGCCTCCACTGTACCGCGGGTTCGTGCCGTGTCCACCCCGGAGTTGGTTCACGGCACCATCGGACTGCATCGGACCGTCGGGACATCGGGACCGAATCGGCTCGGCCCGGCCGAGGCCGACATCGGACATCGGGTCTCTAGGGAAAACTGAGGCTACACTGCACCGCCGCTCCCTGGGCCTCTCCCGGGGCGCGTTCTGACCAGGACTTCGGGGCGAATCCAGCGGCAGGGACGAGGGAAGGGCAGCGGTATCGGTGCCGTAGCTGGTGTCCCGCGGTCGAGAGGGCGAGGCGGCGGAGGAGGCGGCCCCTGGCGCCAGGCGTCGAGGAAAACACGCGGCGGGCTTCCTAGCACCCCGTGTCGAGCCCCGCGACCCCAGGGCGTCGACCGGGCTCGAGAGGCCTGGAACTGGGCTCGGGAGCTCTGGGCATGACGTTGTCCACGGCACGCCAGGGAGGCAGACAAACTGCCCGAGGTAGAGGGGGCAATTGAGGCGGTCGGGCGGCACTAGAGGCGGCCAGACCAACGCCAAGAGATCCTCTCGGCTCCGAAGAAGCAGCGGGGAGACGGCCAAGACCGCTAAGCAGTGGATGCATCGTCACCCCGCATGATAGATTCCCTTGTCTTTCCGAGATACTCGCCTATGGCTGTAATTAGTCAGTCGGAAACTTTCATCGAACCGCCTAAGACTAAGCTGTCGTTGACGCGGATCTGGACGTCCCTTCAAGAGGTCGTTCATGCGACACGCGCAAACAATGCGACAACATCCTGTAGAAAAAATCGGGTTTATATCGAAATCTAGTTAAGCAAAAAGAACCAGACGGAGATCTTAGTGCGCTCTGGCATGTTTACTCTGGTCGACATCCAACTCGAACGCTCTGCCACGGTTGACGAGAAGACAAACGACGAAGGCCTCGTCATATGTAGAGGAGGCACAGGAAGCATAGCAAAGCAGAGAGCAAGTGCAAGGAAAAACTTGGTTTGAGTCATCGCTAAGCGCCTGAAAAGTCAAACCAAAACATTTCGTTTGTTTTGCTACCCTTCTTCCTGGCAGTCTCTTCAAGCATTAGCGGACGTGTCAGCGACACACAGCTTGCGGTCCGCCTGCTTGACGGATCGATTCGGATAGCCCTTGAGTTGTGAGACTATGCGTCTTTTTCAGCAGATCGGGAATGCCGGTCAAGCGCATGTCACGACGGGTCCCGATAACGCTCGTTACACAATCCCGACGGTACGCTGCAAGCTACGCGAGAACGAAGCGTCAGATTCACCTATCGAACACCTTCGCCTGGAGATCACCCAGGCCATGGGCATTGAAACTGCATTATGTTGCGTAGAAAGAGAATGAGAATACCATGCCGTGTTGCCAGTTGGGCTCGTAGTCAAGTAAAGCGCTCAATAATGACAACGGCGACAACAGCAGCAGTGGTGCAGACAACGAGGGCGACTTTCTCCACACAACGACAAGGATGCAATGGATCGATCTTCACGACAACAGCCGCAGCAAAGACAACTATAACCACACTGCATATGACTACCACAACCACGGGCATCGCCACAACCAACGATACTCCTCAAATGCAACGGAAAAGTGCAATCTCTGTGACCAACACGATCACAGTGGATACCACTGCCTCCAAAACCACGTCTGCAATGTCTGTTACGACAGCCATGACCGCCACGACGCATAGAAATTGTACATGCAATTGCCAGATACAAAAGATACGACTACGACCAAGACAATGAGAAGAGTGGCGACAGAGAAGACGTTCAAGACGGACAAGCGGGTGTGGCAGGAGCCACGGTTCCTTTTTGGCCACATGGGCAATCTGGAGAGAGGAAGGAATGAGAGGTACTAGTACACTAGTACAGCTTGCGCATCCCCCGCGCAGAGGAGAGTATGCAATGACGAATTCCTCGCGTCTAGCGCATCAGCGCAATGGCGAGTTTGATCCGGCCACGACTCGGAGATGAAAACATTGAGCCTGGAACACAGCAGCGGCAGGAGCAGCAAGATCTGTTCAAAGCGTTTGTGAAGCAGACTCGATAGCCAAGACCCTGCTGAAATGGTTGTCCTCGCCTTAGCCTCAACGTCCTCCAAGACGTCTTTCCGCATGTTCTTCGGATGCTCTGAAAACGTTCCTGGGGTCATACGCTGTGGCCCAGGAGCTGCCTCAGAGATTCAAGGGATCCCAGGGGGTTCTCAGAGCTGCCGTTGCTCCACCATCGCGGATGGGGCGTGGCCTCCTGGCCGTCCTCTTTATTCGGGCGCTGGTGGGAGTCCGCGAGACGCGGGGTGCGGGATCAGACCTCAACCCTTGGCGCCGCAGCTAGGGGTGGCTCGCGGTGAAGGAGCGAACTCTGGGCAGACAGAGAAACGGAGAAGCAACGGGAAACAACAGACAGGCCATCGTTTCGAAGAGCCTCGTGGATCCTGGAGGGCTCTTCGGAGCCTCCCGCAGAGACCTCTCCAGACTCCCCTGGCTGCCTAAGTTCCACTGAAAAACAAAAAGTGGTCCAGAGTCTCCTCCACATGCTTTTCCCTCCCTCCTAATTCTAACAAGCTCTTCCCTATTTCACCACCAGACGCGTCCGTACAAGCTTGAGATTTCCTGCCAGCTTACGACCCCGACCCTTTGAAGTTTGCAACAGCGACGCGAATAGAGGTCCGTTGGTTTCAAAATGTGGCTCTCGCCTTGGCCCCGCGCACATGCGCCTTAGAAGCTCCCAGCTGCTACACGCACGGAAGACAGTCGTGTTCAAAAGGTGGCTCTCGCGGATGGAGGCCAGCACCTTTTCAAAATGGGTTTCTCACCTGAGACTTCTCTAAAACAATTCGTCCCTTCGGCACGTAGTGGAGTGCCCCCAGGCTCACGCAGCTCTGCGAGGTAGGAGGGTTTGTGGTTTAAGGGTTCCTAACGGCCCAGACCCCCAGTTTCCTAGGCTTAGGCCGGGCAGGTCCCCCTGCAGTCGGATTTTTGATGATAAAAGTCGAACACACATCCAAAAATAGTCGAAAATAGTCGAACAGCCGTCCCCAGCAGAAAGACGTGCCCGACTTAATCCTAGGCGGTCGCGCGCCCTGCGAGGGTGCGTCGCCGGAGCTTCTGGGACGCCAAGAGAGCCCCTAAAGACGGGCCACGAAAAGACCCCAAGAGGCCCCAAAGACGGCCGGCCCAAGAGGGTCTCGAGTCGTCGAAAGATCGGTACAAGACTTTTTGCATCGGCGGCTAGGCAGGGTAACTGCGCTGGCGGAGGGCTACCAAAACGGGGATGCCGTTGTGGCGAATTGTGCCACCATGCAGGAGGGAGGGGAAAAGCAGAGGCGGCGGCCGAAAGAGGAGGCGGGATCGGTCCCAGACGCCCAAGATGGCCGCCAGACGGCCAAAAATGCTCCCGAGGCGCCCCAAGAGGCCTTGAAAGATTGATGCGTTCTCGCCTTTCGGCTTCCCGACGCTCCAAGACGGCCCAAGAGGCCCCCAGGATCGCCCCAAGACGGCCCGAGAGGCCCCAAAAGAGAGTCCCAGAACAGCCCAAGGTGGCCCAAGAATTGGCCCAAGAGGCGCCCAAGACGGCCCAGAGGCCCCAAAGACGGCTCCAAGAGGGGGCCCCGACGGGCGACCCGAATGGACATGTCGAGCTCTAGGCCCCAGGAGGCCCCCAGGAGGCTCCCAGGAGGCCGACAAGAGCCCCCGAAGGGGCCCTCAAGAGGCCCCCAAGAAGCCCTAAGAAGCGCCCAAGAGGCTCCCAAGAGGCCCCAAAACTGCCCCCAAGAGGTTGAAGCCCCGAGAGCGCTCCCAAGAGGCGCCAAGAAGCATCCCTGAGGACTCTGACCCGCAACCCAGGCACGTTGGCGGGACAGGCCGAAGTCCATTAGATATGGCCTCTTGTGCAAAATTGCGCAACAGCTTCACGGATGGAGGGCGGATCTCGGCGGCGATCGAGGGGGGAAGCGACAAGGAGAAGGCCGTCTCAGAAAGCGGCGGGACTTCTCAGAAACCCTCTGGCCTTCTGAGAAATATTGCGTGTCATCGGGGAAGGCTTAGAAAACTTCTCAGAAGGCCGGGTGACTTCCGAGCCGTCTGAGAAGGCCCGCCGCATTCTCAGGTCGGGCATGTCCACCTACAAGAGGATGTTGAAGAAAATTAAAAACAATCCAACAGATTCGAAAATGGTCGGAAATAGTCGGAAAAATCGTCCCCTGCCTATTTTTTCACTATTCTTAATTATCCCTCCTGTAGAGGGACATGCCCAACTTAGCCCCATTCTCGCCTGCTCCTCCTCCCAGGGCTCGCCGCCGACGCGTGCAAAAGGAGCACTCGCTGTACGGATGCTGGGCGGTCGTTCTGCGAAATGCGGGGCTGCCGCTGGGGCTCACCGTGGAAAACAAAAGCCCGCCAGCCCCCCCAGGCGCAGGTGGTCTCGGGCGCTTCCTCTTCCGACCCTGTTCTTCCCCTTCGTGGAGGAGTCGAGCCCTGCGAGCGACGGGGGGGAAGTGAGAGGGGGAAGGCCTTCTCTGAAAGCGGCGGGACTTCTCAGAGGCCCTCGCGCCTCCTGAGAGGTGTTCTGTGCCTTCGGGGACGGCTCCGGAAACTTCTCAAAGGCCCAGGGACTTCCCCCCCTCGCTCGCCGCCCCCACAAGATAAAAAACCTTCCCCCAGCCGACCGGCGACGAGCATGGGGCAATGCCCCCCCCCCGCCATCCCTGGCCAAAGATAAGATACAACATAATGCCATGTGCGACAACATGGTGAGCGTTTTCTTATTCGGCGTTTCGACATTCGGCGGAAGGTGGGGGGAGGGAGGGGAGGGTCTGGCTCCGGACCCCTGCTTCGTGCGACTGTTTGAAGCAGTGCGTGCTGTGGGGGAGACTCCCCCTGCTCGAGAGGCGCCAGAAACAGCCAAGATCTGCTCCATGATGGGGGTGGCCCAGCGCTGGGACGCTCGGCTCCCGTCTCGGCGCTCGTGCCGTGCAATGCGGCGGCGAGGGAGAGGAGGGGGAAAGGGGGGGGGAAGGCGGAGGAGGAGGAGGAGGAGGAGGAGGAAGAGGAGAAAGAGGAGGAGGGGGAGGAGGTGGAGGAGGTGGAGGAGGAGGAGGAGGAGGACTCCTCCTCCTGGAGGAGGAGGAGAAGGAGGAGGAGGTGGAGGAGGAGGAACAGGAGGAGGGGGAGGAGGCGGCGGAGGTGGAGAAGGAGGGAAGTGGAGGCGGAGGAGGCGGAGGAGGAGGAGAAAGGGAGTGGGACGAGGAGAGGAGGAGGGGGTGCGAGGGCCCGCGCCGATCGGCAAAACAAGGAAAAAGAAAACTATCACATGCAGATGCTGCTCGGGCGCCCCGCGATGGCTTTGCGCTGTCCTTGCTGGCAGGGACGAGGGGGGGGGGGGGAGCGGGCATGTGTTTCCACGTGTGCAGGCCCACCATCCCTCGAATGACCTGTGCATAGCGCACGCTGCGGCAATACAGTGGGGGCCCGACCACAAAGAAACCTTCCACAAGAAGCCCAACCCTGAGACCCTGGCACCCCCCAAGAGGCCAAAACCCAGAACAGCCTCAGGGAGACCAATGTTGGTTGCCATATCGCTCTTTCGTTTCCGATTGACCTCCGAGGCCTCAAGATGGCCACAAGCTGGCCCAGGAGAGCCGCAAGAAGGGCCCAAGAGGGCGCGCCTGGCACGCGTGGCCCTCCGTGGTGCCTGATGCACGTCGAACCAGTGGCGCACATGGCATGCGTGGCGCTCCCAGGCGACATGTTGAGGCTTGGGTACTACAGTAGGGGCTCGAGGCACCCAACCCTGAGACCCCGGGACGTCCCTCGATGTTTGGTGTGGGAGCGTCACGCTCTCCACAGCCAAACCATCGAAGCCCAACAAACCCAGGGCACCCCGGAGGCAAGCAGGGTGCTTCTTGGCATGGGCCCCCACTGCATGTTGGGCCGTGCGCGTGCGCCCCGCTGTCCTCTGGCATTGTGACTCCTTCCGCCCTCTGGGCAAGGGCGGCATGGCGAGCGGCTTTCCTCCCTCTTCCAAAGTCCCTCCTGCCCCTCCTCGGGGGAGGGGTTCATCCCTGCTCCTCATCAGGGTACATCCCCTCCCCCACCCGACCGGCGACACGCCCGGGAAAATGCGCCCACCGCCCCCCCGCCATCCCTGGGAAAAAACAAGGCAAACTGCACTTCGCCGCCAAGTCTTGGATCATGTTCAGGGGGGGCGTTCCCACTCTGTGTTGATTTTTGAAAGACAGGGACGGCGGGCGGGGGGGGGGGGGGGCAGCATGCGGCCTGCCGTGCGCAGGGCCACCACCCATGTCAAAAGACGGTACAAGCTGCACATCGCGGCTAAATCTGGATCATCCGCGGGCACCCCGCGATCACTTAGCATCGGTTTTTGGTAAGGACGGCGGGGGGTGCTGGCATGTTGCCTGCTGTGCGCAGGCCCACCAGACATCATGGTGGCCACTCCGCCACGACTGTGCCTTGGCCTTCGACACGGATGGTGGGGGGCGACGTGATTCCCGATGTGCGCGGGCGCACCTGGCACACTCTGCGCACACCCAGAACGTGGCGCAGCAGGCGTGGCTGGAGCACGCAGCACACTTGGGGCACGCGGAGCACGTGGTGCATCTGGCGCACCAGGCGTTTCTGGCCTGCTGGGGCCCCAGGGCGCCTGGCGAGCCTGATGCACGTTTCGCGCCTGGCACGCGCGGCGCACCTCGCCCCAGCGTCGCGCACCTGGGGTCTCCATTGGTTCCCAGTAGCTGCCCATCCAAAGACGACCGCTGAATGTGCTGAGACTCAGGTACTACCTGTGTGTTGAGAGGGCGGATTGGAGTGAGCCAAGACAGTTTGCGTCTGGGAGAAGTGTCGTGACCCCTCGCCCATTACCCCGTCCCCTGGGTCTGGACGGGGGGGAGGGTCCCGAGGAGTTAGAGCGTCCAAGGTTGCTCAAAATGACTCCAAAAGGGAGCCAGATGCTGCAAGGTGATATCCAAGATGGACTTCAAAATAGTTTAAGATAGCCTCCACCATACCCCCAAGAGGTTCCCAGACCATCCCAAGACGGTTCCAAGCGCCCTCGGAGCCTTCCGAGGCATTCCCCAAGAGGCCAAAACCCATAACAACCTCAGGGAAACCAATGTTGGTTGCCATATCGCTCTTTCGTTTCCGATTGACCTAACATGGCCACAAGATGGCCCAGGAGAGCCGCAAGAAGGGCCCAAGAGGGCGCGCCTGGCACGCGTGGCCCTCCGAGGTGCCTGATGCACGTCGAACCAGTGGCGCACACGGCATGCGTGGCGCTCCCAGGCGACATGTTGAGGCTTGGGTGCTACAGTAGGGGCTCGACCGCAAAAAAAACTGCCACGAGACACCCAACCCTGAGACCCCAGGACGTCCGTTGATTTCTGGTGTGAAAACGTCACGTTCTCCACAACAAGACCATCGAAACCCAAGACACCCAGGGCACCCTGGAAGCAAGCGGGGTGTTTCTTGGCATGGGTCCCCACTGTACGTAGTCATGTGTTGGGAGGGTGGGCGGGCGTCTGGGAAAGCTGCCTTGACCCCTCCCCCATTATCCATTATCTCCTCCCTCTGGGTCTGGACGGGGCGCCCCGCAGCCCCGTAGGTCGTTCGAGCATCCAAGATGGCTCAAAATGGCTCTGAGCGGGCCCCAGATAGCGCAAGATGGTCCCTCCAAGATGACTCAAGATAGCGCGAGATCGCTCAAGCTGGTTTCCAACATACTCCAAGAGACTCCAAGACCGCTCAAAGACTCTTCCAATAGTGAAGGGTAACCAATGGTTTGGGCATTCTCGCCCGTTCGCTTCTGATGGCCTTCCGAGGCCGCAAGATGGCTCCAAGAGGGCCGACGAGAGACCCCAGGGGGGCCCTCCTCCCACTCCTTTCCTCCTCCTCCTCCTCCGCCTCCTCCGCCTCCACTTCCCTCCTTCTCCACCTCCTCCGCCTCCTCCCCCTCCTCCTCCTCCTCCTCCTCCTCCTCCTCCTCCTCCTCCGCCTCCTCCTCCTCATCCTCCTCCTCCTCCTCCTCCTCCTCCTCCTCCTCCTCCTCCTCCTCCTCCTCCTCCTCATCCTCGTCGTCTCCCTCCTCCCATCCCGACTGCCGTCGCGCCCGTGCCTCGGCATGCCCCCTCTCCCTGCCTTGGCCATTCGGTGCGAGCTGCCCCGTCGCCGTTCTGTCAGTCCCTCCCACGTCGGCCCTCGCAGCCCGGCTCCAGCCAGCGTGACTTCTGTAGAGGGCAGACAATCCACCCCGATAATAACCACCCCGACACGCGAAGCCGTTTAGTAAACGCACCCAAAGAGGGAATCAAACAGGGCAAGGCTGTTTAGTAAACGCCCAAGGCCGTTTAGTAAACGACACTCGTCCGGTCCGGGTGGGTTTTCCTCCCTTGATCCTGGGGGGTCCCCAGAACGGTGCCGTGGCAAGCCGTGCGGTGACCTTCAAGTCCCGACAGACCCCACCGCACGGTCAGTCGCCGCACGGTCTCGGGGCCTCGGAGGCCCCATCGTCCGAGACGTCCTCGGAGGTCGGCCCAAAAGACCGTGCGGCCACCCCGAATCCCCACTGACCCACCACACGGTGTGGTCACCGCACCGTTTGGGTGCCCCCGAGACCCGCGTGGTTACCCACGGCATCTCGCCGGCCTGGAACCGCAGAGTCTGGTGCCCCTAGAGGGGACACACAGGTACCGATACCGCTCCTCCCCAGACCTCTCCCAGGCTGCGTTCTGACCAGAAGCTCGAGGCGAATCGGCACGCAACCGAACGAAACATACCACAGAACGCGTCGCCCAGAAAAAAACGGTCAGCATCGTTTTCAAAGTTCGCTGAGAACCTAGGGCAAGACGCGTTGAGAACGAACAACAAACCAAAAACAAGAAAAGCTAGAAATCAGAGCAGAACAGCGCTTGGGTAGAGCCCGGCCGTGGCGACGAGGGCCTCTCAGGAGGTCCAAGAAAACCAAAGCAAGGTGCAAGGGGCAGCGGCAGCGGTGCCTTGTCCTCCTCTGGTTAGGTCGGGCATGTCCTCCTGCAGGCGGGCTTTGGAAGAGAAAACAGGATCATCAAAAAATATACCCCCCGAGAGTCAGAACGGCACGCAGAGTCGTCCCCGCACGTTTCTCCTGCTGCTCCTGCACACCCCTCCTGCAGAGGGACGTGCCCGACTCCATGCGCGGGGCGGCGGCGGCAGCGGCGCCTCTGCCCCCTCCCCCCCTGGCCCGCGGGCCACGAATTCGAGGGCCACCGCGCGCGGCCCGGCGGCTCGGACGGGCCGCGCGCTGGCCGCTCGGGGCGCGGCCGCCGCCGCCGCTCCCCTGGGTCTGGGCGCGCAGTGAATGGTTACCAGCCTCGAACGTATCCCTATCCCTAAGATTGACACGCCAAAAGGCGATGACAATCTCAGGGATTCGCCCTCAAAAAGTGAGGGAATCCCTAAGATTGGCATCGTGATGAGGAGGTGCCCAGCATAGGGATAGGGATATGTTCCAGGCTGGTGAAATGGGGGGGCGATGCGGCAGGAGCTCGACGCTTGGAGGTTGGAACGCCACAAGCCTGGAGGTGCACGCCGCCCTGACAGCCTTGCTCCCGCAGGGCGCTCTGCCGCAAAGGCTGCGCGCCCCCCCTCCGCTGCCGCCCGACAGGCGAGCTGGCTTGGTGGACGCGGTGCGCCGCCACTTGAAGCGCTGCCCGGCGCGCTCCGAGCCTGGCCCCAACGGCTCCCGCTTTGAGCCTTGGGCTTCAGTAGGAGCTCGACCGCAAGAAACCTTCCACGAGACACCCAACCCTGAGACCCCAGGGCGTCCCTTGATTTCTGGTGTGGGAACGTCACGCTCTCCACAGCAAAGCCATCGAAAGCCAGGGAACCCACGGCACCCTCTGGAAGCCAGCAGGATGCTTCTGGGCATGGGTCTCCACTGTAAATGATGGGGGGAGAAACGTCTCCTTTTTCGGGCCCTAGAGGGCCCCTGCAGGGGCCCTAGAGTTAGGTCGGGCGTGTCCTCCTACAGGGGGATTGTGGACGAAAACTAAAAAAAGTTAGTTTAAAAATAGTCCGTATTATCAAAGAAGGTAAAAAAATCGTCGCCAAATGATTCTTGTTTTGAAGATTCCTCCTGGGACAGGCCCAACTTAACCCTAGAGGGCCCCTTTTCGGCAGCCCTCGCTACCCCCCCCATACGCGTCCTCAGATGGATGTCTTGGGCTGGGCGCCCGCTTGGGGCCAGCCTCGCGGACAGGGGGCCCTTTAAACCGCTCCTGCGCACCCGGCCTCGGCCGCGGGTGCACCTCGAGGCGCCTTCGGGCCAGCTCCCCCGAGCCGGCTTTCCGCACGCGCGGGTGCCTGCCTCGCTTCCTCCCTCCCTCACTGAGCTTCTACACCCCTCGTCCCTCGTCGCTCATCCTCCGTCCCTGGCCCTTGCCAGACATCGGGCATTTGTCGCACCGTGGCTCCCCAGAGGTCGGGACCCCTTTCTGGGGACCAGCTTTTCATCCCGAGCCGTTCTTATCACGGCCCCGCGGCCGAGCAAGGCCCCCCCCCAAGAGGCCGAAGATGGCACAAAAAACACTCCGTCGTAATTCTTGCCGCTACGCGAGGCTGCCGAGCTAGGGCAGGACTGGACCGCGGTCGGTGCCACCATGGGCCTCGTGCTAGGATGAAGGGGAACGATAGGGGGGGAACTGGGCCAAGGGGGAGAAATGTCGACCTGGCACTGGCCCGCCGAGACTGACGATAGGCCCCGCATCAAAATGTGGCTCTCGCCTTAGCGCCGCACACATCCGTTTTCAAAATTTGCAAGCGTTTCGCGGATTCCCATGATCAAGGTACCCGAAATGGTGTCTTGGAAGGATTCAGGATTATGCGGGTGCAACAATTATGTTGATTCGCGGTGTTGAAGTCCCAAAATGGCGCTCCGGAACGATTCCGGATCTTCAAGGCGCAGCAGTCAGGTTGATACGTGGCGTTGAAATCCCGAGAACAATGTGTTGGCATACTTCAGAATCTTCAAACGGTTGTCTTCCAACGAGACAGTTCCCTCAATGGAAATGAACCGCTGTGGGGGCCTATGAAGAGGGAGCTTGGAGGGAGGGTTAATTCCAACATCGTTGATGACTCTTGGTTTTTTCATTGGTCCCCCCCCTCCTGCTCCTCCTCCTCCCCCTCCTCCCCTCACTGGGGCAACCGAAACGTGCATGCCGATGCCGCTACTCTCAGGACCCCTCCCGGGGCGCGTGCTGACCAGGAGTCCGAGGCGAAGTCGGCCGTGGCGGCGAGGGCCTCCCAGGAAGCGCAACAAGGCGAACACGAGGCAAGGGCAAGAGAACTCGGGGGGCGTCCAAGAGGGGGATTCGCAAAATGTTGCCTGAGGCATGCGCGATTACGTCGGGCATGTCCCCCTACAGGAGGATTTGGGAGGATTTGTTTAATCGACGCTAGGTGAAACAACATTGGTTCAACAAAAAAAGTCAAACCATCTCGTCCCCATACTATTTTGTTGACTAGTTTTGCATACTCCTCCTGTAGAGGGAAATGCCCGACTTAACACTAGGCAAGGGTAAGAGAATTCGGGGGCGTCCAAGAGGGGATTCGCAAATGATTGCCCAACGCATGTGTGCGCAGGGGAGTGACCAGGGGGCATACAATCTAGCCACGAACTCCACCACCGCCTTCTGTGGCAACTCATGGGAGCCTCCCATGCAGTCTTGCGCGCTCTTGCGAATCCACTCGGCGGTCCAACGCCAATCGACGCTGGTCGACGCCAATTGGTGCCAATCCACGCCAAGTCGGTGATTTCTCGTCGAGGATCACACGCCAGCGCACGCCAATGCACTCGAAAAACGGAATATTACGAGGACACGCAAGGCTCCCCCTGACTTGCTGCCGACACCTCCCCTGGTTATCGCCCCCCTGCTTCCAGACGCCAGAAATGAGAGCGAGAAAAATGGGTACAATACCCAACATCAAATGTTGTCTGAAACCGACCGGGGCCGCTGTTGGGCAGGCGGCAATCTGTCTTCAATGAACCACGTCCGCGGCGGCGCGGACAGCGAGTCCTGTTCAAAATGAACAGGAACTGCTGTCGGTCCCAGAGGTCCGATGCCGTGATTTCTCCCACGCGGGGTCCCCGGAAGCCTCGACCCGTTCCCGAGGGCCGGTTCTTCATCCTGAGTCGTGTTTGGACAGTCTTGGGGCCCAGCGAGGGCCTCTAGAGGCCGAAAATTGTGCAAAAGCAGCATAAAAAACTGTTGGCGCTCCGCGCGGAGTTCTTGGATGCGTCAGGGTGTGCGCCGGAGGCGTCGCCGCGGGAGCCCCAGCGCGGATCCAAGAAATCCGCGCAGAGCGCCAAAAACTTATGTTCATAATGAGACCGTATGTTTCCAGCGGAGAACGTCTGCTACTATCTGACAGGGTTATAACACACAGCTGGGACGACGTGAGATCGTTAGAATCACACGTCCAAGGCATTCTGCAAAGTATAATGGAAGTATGGGATGGGAAAACATTGTTCGAAAGGGTGGGTGCCTTTGACGCTTGAGCCCGAGCGGTTGCGATGAGCAGCGCGAGGGGCCAAGCCTGGACACGACACCCGAAAAACCTTTCTCATCATTCCCGTGCACGCACTAACATAATGAGACCGTATTTTTCCAGCGGAGAACGTCTGCTACTATCTGACAGGGTTATAACACACAGCTGGGACGACGTGAGATCGTTAGAATCACACGTCCAAGGCATTCCAAACATCCCGAATAGAAAAGGGTTCACGGGGGCGAAGGAGGGGAAGAGAGGAGGGGAAAAACGAAAACAAACAAGGCATGAGCCTCATTGGGCCTTGGTACGAGCGGGGCCGCCCGAGTTGTACGAGCAGGAAGCGTGCTTCTTAGCGGCAAGAGATTTAGCCAGAGCAGTGGCAAGGCGAGAGGGGTAGGGCTGAGCAATTGAGGTCCACAAAACATTCTGATCATTGCGGCCACTCAGCTCGATGTGACGGCGGAAAGTGCGAGAGCACCTACCTGCTTTTCCAGTGCACACTCTGTCCAGTGAGCAACTGTCCTCAGGATACATATTGCCACAAACCAGCCATGTCCTCTTTCGCCACGGCGTACCCCACTGACAGAAATCTGTAAGTCGCCATTCAGCATGCGCCCGGCTGCACAGAGCCAATATCTCTGGGATGAACCACAGGCGGGAAGTAGACGGATTTTCAAGTATCCACGGAATTTTGTGGCGATTGAGGTGTCTGAGAATGCGAATCACGGCCCGAATTATCTTGTTACCAGTCTCGAGTGAGGCTCGGTCCCGATCTGTGGCATCAGTCAGGTCAGTCCCCCATGGTTGAGTGCGTGAGCGTATCTGAAAAGTCCTGTCTCGAGCAATGGTCAGCGAGGTGCAGGGGAGAGCGATCATGGCGGCGAAGATCTTGCCGTCACGGATGTCCGAAAACAGTAGGCGGAGCACCGCCGGGTCTGTGAGGTCATGGTTGGGCCCGTGGATGATGTCCCAGGCCTTAGCTGAGAACCCCAGCCGCGTGACCGCCCGAGCAACCTTGCCTGAGCCAGAGAACAGGTCGGCCATGTAGGTGCCGTCCTTAGCTAGCCGCGGACGGGCCGTGGCTTTGGGGCAAGCTTGGGCGACCAGAGGAACTCGACGAACTGGCCCTTGCACAAAAACACGTGTGCTGGCATCTCGGCAGCGAGCTCGTTCCAGAAGCTTCCGAGGCGGGCGCTCTTGTAGCATATGAGACTCTTCCAGCGCTTCCACCTTCCGAGCCTCTGACTCTCCTCCTGGCTGCGATCTGGCTTGAGGCGATCTATCCACGTCCACGAATGTCTCATCAGGCACGGTACAAGGTGCAACAAGCCCAACATCACGGCGACAGTCTTCAACTTCGCCCAGAAGGTGAGACAATCGAAGGACCACAGCCGGCCGCCCTTCTCCTTCAAGGCCTGGAGGAAGTCGTGACCCCACGGCAGCATGTGGGCCGAGACGATGATCAGCGAATCGTCCGCATCGCCGGCCTGGCTCCTCTTTTCCCTCTCTGAAGGATGCAAAAGGAGGCTCCAGTACTGCGACACCAGCGATCCCGGGGCCACCAGGTTGGCCGAGGTAAGGTTGAGGAGCTCTGGCCTGAGGTAGCAGCCGACTCCGTTCATCACGGCGACACCCATGACAAGCTCGTCCCGCCTCGCGAACTCCACCGCGATGGCACACCGAACCAGCAGGGGAGCGGGTGTCTTGCCGTCGAGACTCCTCTCCATCTCGCCGGCCGTAGTAGTGCCATCGCTGTCCACGTCGGCGGCCGCGGCGGTGGCAGCGGCCGTGACTGCTGCTGTAGCCCAGGCGGGCCTTTTGGCTGCCAGAGTCACCAGGGACCCTCTGGTTAGGGGCACCTTCCCAGTATCCAGCATCGAGAGTGTCTCCGGTCGCAGCCAAGTAGGCGTCGTCGTTAGCCCCGTGGTCGCTGAAGGCGGACAGGAAGTCGTCATCGGACGCGCTCCGACCGTCGTGAGCCAGCTCCTCTGGCCAGCGATGGTTTGGCTCGGCGCCTCCAGGCCGCGGGTCCGCATCATGGCAATCGTGGAATACGGTGCAGGCAAAAGAATCTGGGTTCTCGAGCGATTCGGGAACTTGAGCCGGCACGTCGACGGACCGAGGTGGATCCGCAGGCTGAGGCAGGACGTCTCCGGGTCCGTGTCCGTCAGCCACCAGGCGAGTGAGATCCTTCGTGGAGTCGTAGTTGGGGTCGTAGATACGGGACCCAGCGTCGCTACTGTTGAGCTCTGAGGGATGCCACCTGAACCCAAATCGAACCCCTCGGCCCAAAGCGTAGGCCGCGATTCGTCTGATCTGCACCAAGAGTCCGAAGCTGCGGGCCCGAAATCTTTCACAAGCTAATATAACTGACATATTATCTCCCAATAACAATACTCTGCAGAATCCACCTGGAACGCAAATACAAACTCTTGCGACAGCTTTGACCAGGACGCGGGCCTCGAGAATCAGGATATCCTCGGAGTAGGCCCACTTGCCATGCAAAATCAAGCGCCACCGATCCCCGTGGAGGAGGGCCCCAGGAATCTCAGGGAAATCCTCACGCATCTCCCAAGCTCCAGCTTCCCGAACGTCCGAAGGGTCACGCTCTTTCTCATCGTCGACCTGCCAGCGATCGGTGGTGGGTGAGTAGACGAACCCCGCGGCGGCGAGGGCACTGGCCCGAGCCGGCAACCCTCCGAGTCGACGGAAACGAGATCGCTCAAGAATCCTGCCCTGCTTTTTCACCATCGACATTCCGAACTCGGAGCTGGCTATCCCCCAGCCGTACGGGCTGGCGTCCACGGACAGTACCTGCGTGAGCCACGGCCGATCCCACTCAGACCGAAGGAGCGGCATCAGCCCGAGGAAGCACTCGAGCTCCTGACGTGCGGACTCCCACATGTCGCTCTTGGCCCAGTACCGCTCACGGATGAAGGCGTAGACGGTGTGCCACACGGACAGGGTCTCCCGGCACATCAAACCCACGAATGCACAGTGGCCAAGCAATATTTCGAGCTCTCGCCCTGCCAGGCGCCGCAAGGAGAGGGCCCACCGGAGGCCGAGTCTCACCTACCAGTAGCGCCTGTGGTTGACGAGGGTCTGGTGTTTCTGGCCATCGAGCGTCACTCCCAGCGCCTCGGCAGTGTCGGAGTCCACCGAGATGTCATGCATGACGAGGCCCGCGGCGTCGAAGGCCGCGATGGCGTCCGCCAGAGCCCCCTTGACGTAGGAGGCATCGAGCGACATGAGCCCAACGTTGTCGACGTATACGTAGTGCCAGGAGGAGGTCGGAGACAGCACGATGGGGGGCCCTCGATCGGTGGCCGCGCAACTCGACGCCGCCGCGGGGACCCGTTCCACCAGGCCGAGGTTGGCCACCTGAGCGAAATAGAGCGACCACGTCCAGCCCATGGGCAACGCGAGGGCGCACGGCCAGAGGTAGTCGTCAGCGCGAGCGGGCACCCCCTCCACCAGCTGCCCGACGATGCCAAACTCCTTGGCCAGGCCGCCCGGGTAGCAGAAGTACTTGGAGAGGTGGTTGCCGAACATCATGCGGTGGAAGCAATCCTTCACGTCAGCTTTGCCCAGGAAGATGGGCAACGTGCCGGTCTGCTCCGCGTCGCACTCGATCCGACCAAGCCCATCGGTCGACAGCAGCTCGACCCCAGGAGGGGTCACGAAACGTTGATTGGAGCGGCGACAGTCGAGCACCATCCTCATGGAGGCGCGCTCCTTCTTCCAGACGAAGAAAACACCCACGAACTCCTTGGGATCGCGGGTGAAGCCCACCAAGCCTTTCCGCTTCGGATCCTTCACGAAGGTGGAGTACCGGCGGCGACTATTGGCGAGCAGGGGGTCGGTGTAGATCTTGATTTCGCCATTCGTCTCACGGTCAAGCTGGACCTCAGCATCGGTCCTGATCATCTGCTCCTCTGCCTCTACCAGATACTCGAGGGCGCGCCCCGTGACCAAGGTTCCCACGGCCGGGGCCGTCGAGACGTCACAAGGAAGAGAAACCGCGCCCCGTTGGTAGGGTGCCAGGGTAGCGTAGGCCGTCTCGGTGTCGTAGACCCCGCGGCCTCGAAGTAGCCCCTGAAAGGCCTCCTTCGGAGAAAGGTCGGAGGGTGGGTCCAGATACGTCTGGACCCCCTGGGCGACTCGCACCAGCACCTCACGTTGAAGTTGAAAACGGCATGGATGGACGTCGCCTCGAGCACGTCGGGCGACCTCACGATGACCAGCACCCCACAACCAATTTAATGGGCGCACACACTCCCGCCAATCCCTCACGAACCGGCGCTGGGCACGCCCCTGAAGGTGGATCCAGAAATCCGCGACGAGGCTGAAGTCGTCGGGCAGCGGGAAGATCTCCGCGGATCCGCGCGCAAGCCCAGGAAGGCGAACGGCGGGGGTTGGGCCAGTCCCACCGCCGAGGGTCACATCACTCATTGAGTCTCCGCCGCGGCAGCGGCGCCTTCGCCTCCCTTCGGGGCTCCACGGCCCGATCCTTTGGAGGGCTGGCCCGCCACGGCGGCGACAGGTGCACTGCGTCCAGCGGCAGGGGGACCGTCAGCAGCGGCGACGTCGGCAGAGATCAAAAGGATGCGGGCCTGCACCCGCATGGACTCGACCTCGGCCTCGTCCACGGCCGTCATGGCCACGTAGTGCTCCAGCTCGGGCGCGACCATGACCACCGCAAAACCCACGCTGGAGTGAAGCCCTGCGCTGGCCCACTGCGGCCAAGAGGAGTCACCCGAGTACACGTCCACATTACTCTGGAAGCGGCGCACTATGCACTCGAAGATGAACAGCGACGGCTTGTTGAGCTGGTCGTAGGAGCCCCCCTCGTAGATGACCTCGTAGAGGACGGAGGGCTCGTGTATGACCTGCTCGCGCGGCCAGAGAATCTTCGAGCGAGACCAGAGGTCAAGGCACCTCCTGACGATGTCGCCATGCCGATCAGAGTGGCTGGGGATAAACATCGGGCAGACCCGCGCCTCCACAGGGCTGTCGGTCCACACCGTGGGGTAGCTCTCCATGACCTCATTACGCCAAGACTTGAGCGGGTCGTTCATGGCGTCAGTGTCCACCCACAGAGTGCGAACATCGCTCGGCTCGGCGGCATCTGCAGGGGCGGTCGGCTCGGCTCCATCGCCGTGGGAAGGCGCGCGGCTCGGCACGACCTCGACACGCCGCCCGAAGTAGATGGGCGCGCCGCCGACGTAGCGAACCGCCACCTCGTAGGCCGAGGTCTTCAGGGTCGCGTAGTCGGCCACGTTGGTCTCAGAAGCGCTCCGCATCGGCACCGTCTCGCCGTCGATGTCGGCGACGCTGCGGTCACCCAGCCCGATCATGACGTATGCGTGCAGCACAGGGATTCCCAACTCCCCGATCCGACCAGGCTTGCTGGCCAGCCAGCGATGACGCTCGCCGTCGGCGGCCAGCATGCTGCCGCCCGCGTACCCGGCGCCGCCAGGTGACTCGGCGGCTCCCGCGCCCGCGTCGGCGACAGGTGGGTTGCTTTCCTTGCCGGCGAGCCTCACCTGCTCGCCCTGGGGACGGCGGCGACGGGGCGGGCGCTGGCGGCCATCCACCGACAGGCAGTATGACGGGCCTGCTGGCGTGTGGCGATCGGGCTCAGACTCCCGCAAGGACGCCACCTCGATGCGGGCCTCCACGGTCAGCCCGTGCAGTACGTCGTCCGTCAGGTACACTGCGAGCGGCACAACCTCCGCCACGTAGTACGGCAGAGACCTCGACGACTGACCCGTCGTCAGAGGGTACACCTTGTCCCCGTCCTTCTCCTTTCTCCACCTACATGTCGCCGCCGTCCGTGTACACGATCCAGGGACAAACGTCACATGCCCGCATGATGACGCGCTCGTGCCTGAACCCGAGATCAAGGACGAGCGACACGAGCAGCTGCGTCCCCGACTGCCAGTCTCGCTCCGCTGCGGATCCCACGGAGCTGCGTCGAGTCGGGCCATGCAGCACAGCGGCTCCAGTACACGAAGAGCTCCTCGAGGACCCCGAACCCCAGGCGCCCGGCGAGAGCGAGGTCGGCCGAGAACGCGAGGCCTCCCACGCACGGCCAGAGGACCTCGATCGCCGCGGCACCGTCGGGCGCGAGCCGCACTGAGGGACCCAGCGAGGGCAGGCCCGGCGGCTCGGGCGCCACTGACGACGGGCAGGTGCCAGCAGGAGCAGTCCCACAGCGGAGGCTCCGAACCCCAGCCGACGGCCGCCGCGCGGCCTGGGGCAGCCAGCGCGGAGCGCCCAGCAGCGAAGCCGGCCACCCAGTCCGAAAGCGAGGGGGCTATCGCGGCAATCCAGGTGAAGAGTACTGCCTGGGATGGTGTGACGGCCATCGAGCGAGAACCCGTGCCTTTGACGCTTGAGCCCGAGCGGTTGCGATGAGCAACGCGAGGGGCCAAGCCTGGACACGACACCCGAAAAACCTTTCTCATCATTCCCGTGCATGCACTAACATGCCTTGTTTTGTTCTTCGATCGTACCCACACTTTCCGCACCCCTTTCGATCGTCCGTCAGGGTCGCGGGGCCCGAAAAACAGGCGAACACGCCCGGCTCGAAAAGACGCCAGAACCTCAGGGTCCGTCTCGCCTTTCTCAGTACGCTGAACTCTGGGATCTTTGCACCCATTCTTTCCGTACCCCTTTCGAACGTCGACTGGCTCGTGGCCACCCCCGGCGATCCCCCCCCGAGGGCTGCACGCCGTGAAGCGGAGGAGCGGCGAAATCGACGCTAATCGATGCTAGATCGACGCTAATCGACGCTAACCGACGCCAAGTCGACGCTGACCGACGCTAAATCGACGCTAGTTCGACGCTAACCGAGGCCAATCTACGCCAAAAACGGAATCCCAAGAGGCTCTGCAGGATCCTGCAAGACCTGGCGCTCTGGCGGACCCCCGCTTGCCTTGACCCCCGTCGCTTGAGCCCCGAGCGCCCTGGCCCTCGGCCGCCCCCGAGCGCTGCCCGCCGCGACCGGAGGAGCGGCGACGGCGCGTCGGAGAGGACCTGGCGGCCGCCCAGCAGGCCCGGCCGCCTCTAGGCGGCCGGGCGCGGGCTCCGGGCCGCGCCTCCGCGCCTGGCCCGGGAGAGCCGCCGACTCTGCGCGCCCTGCAGCGGGCCATGCTATCAGGTCGGGCATGTCCTCCTGCAGGTCGGGACGTTGGAAGAGAAAGTCAAAAAAGGCCCAGAAATATTCAAACATGCGAACAATGACCAACAAAGACGTCCCTTGACTATTTCCAAACCATCCTGTGGTGTTGGGTCCTCGTTTTGAAGAGACGGTGCCCCACGTTCCTCCTCCTCCTTCTCTTCCCCCCCCCTTCTCCCGCTGCTCCCTCCTCCCGTCACCCCCCTCACTTTGGCACACCACCCCTTACACGTTTCGTGGCCCCATAGGGAGCGCCACCGAAGGCCCCAGTGCCACCTCCCACATGCGTCCCTCACACCCATTTTGGCACACCCCTCACACGCTTCTTGGCCCCATAGCGAGCTCCACCGAAGGCCCCAGTGCCACCTTCCACATGCGTCCCGCGCACCCATTTCGGCACACCCCTCACACGTTTCGTGGCCCATACGGAGCCTCACCGAAGGCCACAGTGCCACCGCCCACATGCGTCCCCCACACCCATTTCGGCACACCCCTCACACGTTGCATGGCCCCAAAGGAAGCTCCACCGAAGCACCCATTTCGGCACACCCCTCACACGCTTCGTGGCCCCATAGGGAGCAAACCCCTCAATCGCTTCGTGGCCCCAGAGGAAGTTCCACCGAAGGCCCCAGTGCCACCGTCCACATGCGTCCCCCACACCCATTTCGGCACACCCATCACACGTTGCATGGCCCCATAGGAAGCTCCACCGAAGCACCTATTTCGGCACACCCTCACACGTTTCGTGGCCCCATAGCAAGCTCCACCGAAGGCCCCAGTGCCACCGTCCACATGCGTCACCCACACCCATTTCGGCACACCCCTCACACATGTCGTGGCCCGATAGGGCGCTCCACCGAAGGCCCCAGTGCCACCGCCCACATGCGTCCCCTACACCCATGTCGGCACACCCCTCACAAGCTTCGTGGCCCCACAGGGAGCTCCACCGAAGGCCCCAATGCCACCGTCCACATGCGTTCCTGGCACCACCACCGTCAAACCCCTCACACGTTCCGTGGCCCCATAGGGAGATCCACCGAAGGCCCCAGTGCCACACATGCGTCCCCCGCGCACATTTCGGCACTCCTCACACGCTTCGTGGCCCAATAGCAAGCTCCACCGAAGGCCACAGTGCCACCGCCCACATGCGTCCCCTACACCCATGTCGGCGCACCCCTCACACGCTTCGTGGCCCCATACGGAGCTCCACCGACGGCCCCAATGCCACCGTCCACATGCGTTCCCGGCACCAACACCGGCAAACCCCTCACACGCTTCGTGGCCCCATAGCGAGCTCCACCGAAGGCCACAGTGCCACCGCCCACATGCGTCCCCTACACCCATTCCGGCACACCCCTCACACGTTGCATGGCGCCATAGGAAGCTCCACCGAAGGCCCCAGTGCCACCGTCCACATGCGTCCCCCACACCAATTTCGGCACACCCCTCACACGCTTCGTGGCCCCAAAGCGAGCTCCACCGAAGGCCCCAGTGCCACCGTCCACATGCGAACCCGGCACACATTTCGGCATACCCCTCACACGCTTCGTGGCCCCATAGCGAGCTCCACCGAAGGCCCCAGTGCCACCGTCCACATGCGTCCGCCGCACCCGCTTCATGGCCCCATAGGAGGCTCAACCGAAGGCCCCAGCGCCACCGTCCACATGCGTCCCCCACACCCATTTCGGCACACCCCTCACACGTTGCATGGCGCCATAGGAAGCTCCACCGAAGGCCACAGTGCCACCGTCCACATGCGCCCCCCACACCCATGTCGGCACACCGCTCACACGCTTCGTGGCCCCAAAGCGAGCTCCACCGAAGGCCCCAGTGCCACCGTCCACATGCGAACCCCGCACACTTTCGGCACACCCCTCACACGCTTCGTGGCCCCATGAGGAGCTCAACCGAAGGCCCCAGTGCCACCGCCCACATGCGTCACCCACACCCATTTCGGCACACCCCTCACACGCTTCGAGGCCCCACAGGGAGCTCCACCGAAGGCCCCAGGGTCCACATGCGTCCCCCACCCATTTCGGCACACCCCTCACACGTTTCGTGGCCCCATAGGGAGCTCCACTGAAGGCCCCAATGCCACCGCCCACATACGTCCGCCACACTCATTTCGGCACACCCCTCTCAGGGTTCGTGGCCCCGTAGGGAGTGTCACCGAAGAAGATAGTCACAATTGCGGTACCCACAACTGCAGGTGGTTGTGTCCTTCGCCAGGCTAATTTTTTACTAAGTTTGAATACTCCTTCTGTAGGGCATGCCCAACTCAACTATGATAGTCGGGGAGACATAGGACTCGGGTTCGGTGGACTCGGGTTGGCCTGACGGGGCCATCATGAAAACGACGAGGCCCCGCCCGAAATTTGACGCGAGCTCCCGCTGCAGACATCCCACGAAAATTGGACCGTCAAATCCAGGACGCGCTCATCAAAAAGCTTCGGCAAACCCGAGCTCCGGCGTACTCGAGTCTTACGTCTCCCCGAGATAGGCCCGCCTCGGGTCGGAGGCGACGATATGAAGGCGAATAGCCCAGGGGAGACGAATACGCGTATCCAGGGGCGCCAATGGTCCAGGTCTTCGGGGAGGCTCCCAGGCGAATGCGTATACTGCCCGCCCCTCGGCTATTGGTCCCCATCGTCGCCTCTGATCGGACTAAGGAGCACGTCCCCGACGGGCGCGCGCACGGCTGGAGGGGAGGTCTCCGTTGCGACCACCAGGTCCCGCCTCCCGACCCAGGAGGATCGTCGAGATGAGGAGGAGGAGGAGGAGGAGGAGGAGGAGGAGGCCATGCTCTCTCCCTCCCACGCACGCGCACGTAAACTGAAGGACGAGGCAGCTGCGCCTCGATTCGGCGGCGGGGCCTTACGCGAGATCACACGGGCGACCTAACGCGGTGGCCTACGCGGGCCGCCAGGGCGGCACGCTGCATTGGAAGCGAGGGCGCTTATCCGCGACCTTCCGCGGGCAGCCTGCGCGCGAATGCTGGCGAAGACGAAGACGACACCGAAGGTCTGGGAGGCCGAAGCGGAAGGAGGTTGGGGCTATCAGGCCAAGCTGAAGGGCAATGTCAAGGGGGGGGACCGGCTCAAGAGCAAAGCATTGAGCCGGGATCGGAATCGGCGACCCATCGCCGAGAGATCGGCGACGCACCTCCGATCGCGAATGCGCGGGTTCCTAGGAGGGGTGGGCTATCGGGCCCAGATCGGCAGTGGATCGGCGGTGGGAGGTCGATGCATCCCCCCATGAGCCTATGCTTAGGTCGGGCGTGTCCTCCTACAGGCGGATTTTGAAAGAACATTAACAAGTAGCCACAAAATTCTCTCCAATTACCCTGGCCAAGAACCCAACCATATGCAGTTGTCAGTACTTCAATTGTGAAGATCTTCTTCGGTGGGGCTCCCTATGGGGCAACAAAGCGCTGCACTGGGTAGGGGGGGACGCATGCGGGCGGCAACACGGGGGCCGTCAGTGGAACTCCCTATGGGGCCACGAAACGGTGTTCTGGGTGGGGGGGACGCATGCGGGCGATAGCACTGGGGCCTGCGGTGAAACTCCCTACGGGGCCACAGAGCGCTGTAGTGGGTGGGGGGACGCATGCGGGCGGTGACAGTGGGGCCGTCGGTGGAGCTCCCTATGGAGCCACAAAGCGCTGCACTGAGTGGGGGGAGGCATGCGGGCGGTAGCACGGGGGCCGTCGGTGGAGCTCCCTCCCTATGGGGCCACGAAACGGTGTACTGGGCGGGGGGAACGCATGCGGGCGGTAGCACTGGGATCTGCGGTGAAACTCCCTATGGGGCCACGAAACGGTGCAGTGGGTGGGGGGGACGCATGCGGGCGGTAGCACTGGGATCTGCGGTGAAACTCCCTATGGGGCCACAAAGCGCTGTACTGGTTAGGGGGGGACGCATGCGGGCGGTGGCACCGGGGCCGTCGGTGGAGCTCCTTATGGGGCCACGAAAAGCTGTACTGAGTGGGGGGAGGCATGCAGGCGGTGACGGGGGCCGTCAGTGGACCTCCCTATGGGGACACGCAACGGTGTTCTGGGTGGGGGGGGGCGCATGCGGGCGGTAGCACTGGGACCTTCGGTGGAGCTCCCTATGGGGCCACGAAGCGCTGTACTGGGCGGGGGGGACGCATGTGGGCGGTAGCACGGGGGCCGTCGGTGGAGCTCCCTGT